GGGGGCGGGGCGTGCGCAATAAAAGTCGAGCCGCAAGTTCATAACTCCTGTTTACGTAGACCTAGAGCGCTGAAATTTGTTAGGATTACACATTTCGTATTAACAGTGGAAGCTCAGCACTTTAGTAAGTGATGTACGATGTGACGGGATTGTAGGTACTCGGACAAGAACTGATCATAACTGATAAGCGAAGATGAGGGACCTAAGAGAGGCCACCTACCGATCAAAATCCTAACATCTCCGGTATCCATGATATAGCTAGGACCGTTCAGTATGTTTCATTCTATAAGACGGGATTGTAGAGCAGGGTGACAAAAGTGAGTGGTGAGTGCAGCATAGGGATCCATTAGGGCAATACGATAAGCAGATTAGAACTTCGTTCATTTCTTACTATTAGGTTACGTCCGCTACCCAGCAAGGTTTGTGATTCAATGAAGGGTCCTCTTTGGTCGATATCATTTGCGACAAAACTTAAACAACCACCAATAATTTGGAATTCCCAACAAATGATATCTCCATAAAGAAAAGGGTCCACTGATAAAGAGATCTGATAGCGGTGCTATCATCACTCAGAGCATTACAGCATCATCTTTGATTGTCTAACAGTTGGATTTTGATGGGTGTTTATTTCTAAGAAAGAGAGCAAAAGTTCGAGACTTCCAATCGAAGGCGTGAGCACCGACTTTAACTGAATACCATTTGCACTGCCCTGTTAGTCCTGTGTCGAATTTCGTGTACAGGAAACTGTCATTTGTTCCAAAAAAAGAGTGGGAATTAGACTTACTACAACTATCAAAAAAGAGGAAAGCTTTCGATTTCTGCTGTGTCAAAGAGCACTGTTTCAGTTTCATACTCACACTCAGCTAAACGATGGTAAAAACTTAAACTCAGCTAAACTTAACAGCGAAAAAAAGCTTAAAAACTATAAACTTTGAAGAGGGAAAAATCTTTTAGTTCATCATTTCTCGGGATAGGGTGTTTGACACAAGAAGGAGGAGAGCCTGGCGTTAGCCGGGCGATCCGACTGGTATACATATATGCCTGAATTTTTTTGTCTGACAATCACCCACCTTGTGATTTTTCCTCGGTAGTCGTGATCCGTGGTTCAGGCATCGTTGACAGAAGTAGATTTTCTTATTATCTGGAAAGTGGTACTTGAGTGTTATGGGAGATGCTCTCTAGAAAAGGCTTCAAAATGGCTACGAAGTGGTGTGGTCAGTTGATGAACCTCTCCCGAGGATTCAAGTCAACCCGTATGTTCAAGTCGAAAGTTTCTGAATCATTAAGTAATATATAAAATGATTGTAGGTCCAGTATTGACTTCATTATTTTCCATCCGCTGTTACTTCACTACACGTTGCGAAAGTCTCACAAGACCGGGAAGTTATGAACGAAACTTCGGCCTCCGACGACACTACTTGAGCTTTACGGTATGAGCTGGGTTTGAAAAACCTCATGAAGAAAACGAGGCAGGAGTTACGGTAGGCAGAAGGGGATGCAGAGCACTCTACTCAGAAAGCGCAAGTAGCTATATAATAGAAGCGATGGGAGCAGATACCACAAGATCTTCGAAACTTCTTTCTTGGGCAATGTTCGAAAGTTTTTTGCTGTAAACAACTCTTGAGATGCTCTCGTATACTTAAACAAATTGTAGGAAATTGTCGATACAGAAGGTACTCTTCAAATCCAGTCAATGTGTGTTGCCCCATTAACTGATCATTACTTAATGAACAATCCTTTGTGAGATATCCAACATATTCCAAGCGACCTTATATGAAACGATTCATCGACTCTGCCTTTGGTGGTTTAATTGTTTCTTCAAAGGCTGATGGTTGACGATTCATAATCGGCCAGTACTTGTAAGATAATGTCTTCATTGATGGTTCTATGACACTATTAGCCTCCGAACGCTGAGCCTGATGGAAGCCTTCTTGTGATATCAGAAAATCCCTTGTCTGTAAGGTGCACTACTACGAGTGAAGAAGGCGGAATGATGCCCTCTGTTCTCTCAAAAGGTTGCCCGTTGCCCGTTATTGTGATTCTTAGTAAAAGTGCGGATATGACTTGCTTCATGCAGGTGCAGTATCAATCACAAGCTTGGAGTTGTTTCTTTTTCAAATGAGTTTTTTCAGTAATGGAAATCGAGCAGGGGCCCAATTTTTCATAGTCCACATGAAGCGAAATGTGAACATGGCGGGCAAAACGATCTTTGAGAAATTGACTACCGCCATACAATCCTTTTCGTTTTAAAGGCAAGTTTGGAGATCTTCCTTTCAACAAAAGATCCTGGGAAACCACCCGGTCCCTCAGCATTTTTCAATGCCATCTAGCATTTCATCCCGATTTTTTTTTCTGGGGGCCTGCCGTTTTTCCTTCTTAATAGTTGTTTCTCTATTCAGAAAACGCCAGTAGAAGTTCACAACACGATAACGTCCTGAGCATGCCTTCCATCTTAGAGCGTTCTTTTGTTAATCAATGGAAGTAACGGTTTGACCAAGCCAAAGTTTGGACCTCCTCTCGCATGGAAAACTCAGAGAAGAGCGCGATGTAATGGTAGAACTCCAGATAGACATGTTGCTGAAACGCTTGCGCTCATGGTTCACTATTCTTGATCAAGACCCTTAGTCGAATGACCCTAACACTATCCTTCTTTTCGAGATTATTTAGCTGATGACTCTTGCGACAAAATAAAAGCACTGACTTGTTTATAGCATGACTTCCCAAGTCCCCATATAACCAACTTCGTGTTTAAACCGCTACGATTTTGGGTAGGAATTGATCGCTCGGGTGCATCTCAGAATGAGACTGATTGAAGGTACGTCGTGGGATCATTTTTCGTACTTTATCTTAGGGTACCACCTTGTAGCAAACCAAGTTATGCGACAAATATCTCAATGCTGAATTGCACTTTTCTGCGATATCATGGTTGGAACCCATGCATTTCCAAAAACGACGAGTTCACGATTCAGGGTTTCACGAATAGAAACAATAAACCTACCATTCTCGGCCATGAAGTCCAATTGTCCGAGGTGTGGTGTTTTCCGAACTGTGCCGCTCTTCTGTAGAAGCCCATGAGATTCGATTCGAATCTCAAAACGAATTAATGACACATGGAGGGAAAAGTGAATGGCAGGAATGGATTAGTTACTCTGATAAGAAAGGAAAATCACCTGTGGGAAAAATTGCCGAAAATGTGATGAATCGACACTCGCAAATGGCTGAGGAGTCGTCGTGATGTCACACAACGCCATCTGGAACAGAATGAAAATGATACTTTTGGTGACGAAGATTGACTCTGTCCAGCGATTGATATGAAAGATCTGGTAAATACAGCAATACCAAAGGAGCAAGACTCAAGTAGTTGTCAGGAGATGATTTCCATTGTCTTGGCAGTGAATATTATATTTCACACATGTACTAGGCGTTCTTTTCAAAAGTTGTTCATGTAGGTGGTTAGTCGCCACTTCGGATAGTTATGCATAGGAGTAATCCAATTCCAGTAAGAGAGGAGGGCAAAATAGATTTAAAAAAATGTTTATAAGAGCAAGTTGTAACAAAAATAACGTTTTCTGATCTCCTTCATCTGCAGGAGTAGGTTGTAAAGTGAAGAAGAAGCTCTACTGTCCCTAGTGACGGTGAAACTCGTTTACTTTTCCAGATCTTTTCCGGAATTTCCGGATTTTACGAAAGGGTGCCTTACGTCAGTGATTATACAAATAGCGGTCTCTGATTGTTGCGTATCTAATCCTACTCACGAAAGATAGAAAGCAAACCTGCTTGGTTTTATTAGTTCCAGTAACGAACATCCTAAATCCTCCGTAGTGATAGGCCTTAAAAACTTGCTGAACGGTCTGAGCCATGGTTGCATAAAGTAACGTCATGGGCCACTACACACGCCGAATTCTAGTTTCTTCATATTGTCCAGGTTTTCGCGATACACGTGAGCTCAGAGCAATTGCTAAAGTGGGAAGATCTTAGAAAAAACTCACCCCCCCCCCCCCTAAATCTAATGCAAGACATTGCTGGCTTCTCTTAATAGTACAGTATGTCTTAGTTCAACTCGCTCTTGTCACCGACTTGTGTTCGAAATTCTTTGAATATGTTACAAAGGATTGAAAGGCATGAAAGGCATCGGTAGGGACCACCAGCATGCTCCGACTCCTTTTTAGGTCATGCTTAAGTTGAGGCCATGTTCGCGGACTCCCGGCAATGAAATCAAGGATATCAGTTTATGGTACTGAATTTAGGATTCGAGAACACGTGAACATGGCCTATATGCAAGTGTGACCTGAGGAGAGTTGGGATGAACGCTGAGGAATTGTTTCCGCTGTGAAAGCGTTTGAACGTTGGCAACACTGCGAAAAAGTAAACTTCTTGCTTCAGATAGAAAAATAATTCCGAGAAAAATTCTAGAGCGATGTTAGTTGAAAAGCAAGATTTCCACGAGAAGAGATGAGATGTTCAAGCTAACGTATGAATTCGCCACTGTACAAAAACATTTCACCTCAAGGTCTTCCTTACTCAAGGTGCCATTAATAAGCTACAAAAAAATGTCGGGAAACTTTGCGAACTTCGTTGATAAAACTCTCGTAATGTAATCCGAGACATTGTGGCCTTAATTACTTATTACGGTATGTGTCTGTATGCATCGTCAACAAACAGATACCTGTTCAGGTTGACGCAAACTGTGTCAAGACGCAAGTCCCAATTCACAAATGACCCCTCGATCGACTGGGTCTACTTGTGATCGTGACATGGTGTCAATGAGCTCAATGCGGCAACGTACGTGTTCCTTAGCTGTCGCCTAGAAAGGTCTCGAAGCCATTCGAAAGGACCATGATCATGAGGGGAGAACTTTACCATGTTCCCCTTGTATAACCCATCTCGCAACCCAGCCATGACTTTTGAATAATGTGTTCATCACCCAGCACAGGTAGTGAGCTGTGATCCGATTACTTTCCTTCGGATGGTAAGGGACGTTCCAGAGTAAGATGAAGAATCACATTAACTGTTGCAGATTTCTAGCTCTACCTTTGGAACATGATTGTGATTTGATTCAGGCAGTAACCAAGGGAGAACTCACAATTAACCTAGTCGTTCTATCCCTCACTTCAATCCTGGAGGCTTTTTCGAATTAAGCTATACAATGGAATGGTTACCCTATACCCCTAACTTCCCCATACAGCTCATTGAGCAACCATGGCTCTACAAATTTATTATGAAAAGTAGTTCATTGAAAGTTGGAAAGGAGAAAGAAAAGGTTAAGCATCGCCATATATGAATCCAAATAAACAGGCAGCTTGTTTCAGAAGGCTTGGAAACTGAAGAGGCCACAGCCTACATAGTGGAAGAAATGTTTGGAAAGGTTACTCTAAGCTGTCAAGTAGTACCGGAAATGTTCTTCGCTGTGGAATATGAGAAAATGAAGTCTGAAACTTCTGCATCTGGAGGGTAGGTTTGCGTGCGGTAGGAAGACCATATGAGAGCCTCAGCAAATATGAAACAAACCGGAGGGTTTCATGTGTTTCTTAGCACGATGGATGCGGGTGAAAAAATCATTGAAAAAACTATCCTTTTTTTTTGTGGAACCGGTGACGGTGAGTGCCGTTGTGCTCTGGGTGCGTATTGAAACGTAGAGTGCTCAGTGTAGGGCCATTTTTTCCTACACACGACTACGGATAGCAAAAACGCGCACTCTCCATTGTGCGCAAACGTTGAAATCGAAGACGACCGGTTGGATCGTAGGAATAGCCGCGCCTCGGGGTGACACTGTACTCTGACGACGATTGGTAGACGCTTCGTTGCAAGTGCTCGAGGGTGACCAGTACATGCGAATACATTCGAGCTATAGGACGAGAATGAAGTGTTTATGAGTTGTGCAAAGAATTTCTTCGGACGTCCCAATTTCTAACTTCAAAGATCCTAAGGAGCGGTCAGACTCTTTCAGGGGCACATAGTGCTGTCTGCCCTCATAGGATCTGATTTTTGCTGGTGGTAGTCGAGACCGGGAAGGAGTCATGTAGTTGCTCTATCCCAAAGCAATAACCACCATAGCTGAAGAAAATTTATTTTCATGCTCTAGTATAAGCCTCATGACCTCACAGGGAACGCTACTCGTACCTAACCTTCAGGCCACCCCTCTTTTTTGAGTGCGTAGGGATAAGACAAACAATCTCTAAAAACGAAATGCAATGCCCAAAATGGGATACTGTGAGCGAACGGCAGTGTTTAATAAGCAGGCATCAGTGAGCAAAATGTCGAACTAACGAGGACTCGACGAGTGACTCAACAGGAATGAGTCCAGTGACACATTCTGGTTGGAAATGTCTCCTTTGCAGAAGTGTTTCTGGCTACCTTACAGCGATGGCTAGGGACAGCACCAAAACGTGGTCAGCATATTTCGGAGATGCCACTCACCCTAGTCATCTTTGCCGAGAAGGAGATGCGGTGTGGTAAGTGAAGAGATTTGGGACCGTTACCTCCCATGAGGATCAGGTTTCGACTCTTCCATCTACCCTATTAAGACTTCTTATTGAGTGTACATGTTTTATGGGACAAAAACACTAATCTGTTCAGCACCTGGCGAGTCTTCGCTAGCGAAATGGCTAGATAATACTTTTCGCATGACTTTAATCTTAAGTGAAGGTCGAGTGAGTTAGAGTATTCCAAAAGGGAACTTACCAGTGTTTTTGAACTTGTTGTGACATTGGAACCTCAATGATGAATTAGTTAAACAACGAGTGCGCCGTGCGTTCGTGCAACAAAAGAATATGTAGGAGTAATGAAGTGAAAAACACTATTTCTCACTAAATTTTTCGAACTTTCAGCAAATCTAAAAGAGAACGCACTAGGGTACCTTTCAGGAAAAATATAAGGAAGGGAAAGACAATCCCAATATAGCAACCCAGTGTCTAGCGTGCTTAGCTTCTTCGTGACTCATACTGAAGAAAAAGTCTAGGAGAGGCGTCCAGCCACACCCGCCCACGCATTGCGCCAGAGCGCGTCAGAACAGCAACGGGAAGAGTATATTAGCAATGACTTTTGCGAAAACATTATTCAGGGCAGAAGCGATGAAGTGTCAAGGTGGGACATGCCTGTCCGGGAAATCCAGGCCAATCAAGCTTTTAATTCCTCCGAGGCCAGATTATAGTTACCTTTTCTGTGTGGACAAAAGATGGATCTCCTAACCAGCTGGCAATCGAAAGCCGTTGTATAAGCCACATGCGCATTGAAACACCATGACTCTAAGCAGAATTGAAGGCAGAAGCTCACATCGAATCCCAATAACCCTGGAAAGTCTGTACAGGCTTACAGAAAACCGGTGGTTTTTTTTTCTAAGTTCTTCTGCAGGAAGCGCTCAGGGTTCAACGAAGCTCCACAAAACTTGAAAGTGAAATATCTATAATGGCCAAGATCCCCTTAAGGTCAATTGTGATGGTGTTCTGGCTTGTCCGCTGCAGTTTACAGCAACGCGATGAGTCTCACTTTAACTGGTCACACTCGAAACCACTCACGAAGTATTTAGGGCCGAGAATTGGCGCGAAACAATAGCGCAACACTGGGCATTGTCCCTTGGGCATGGCACCCTGCATCGGGTCTCGTACAAAGAGAAGATGTCTACCACATAACTCGTTCCAGGCAGTGTCCTATGAGTGAATTCAGCACGATAGAAACCGCCTTTGGAAGATTGCTATGCTAATAGTGTACGTTAGTTGATGAATAATGAAAGCTAGCATAGTAATGAAGAATCGCATGTTTGCCTGCTGTGCTTGAAAGCCTCTCAACTGCTCACTGTGAACTTGTAAAATGAGCGATTGTCTCGAACCATCTGATCAGATTATCACCATTCATTCATCATTTAGATCTACAGTGCCTTAAGAGCATAACAAGCGATATTGCATTGTTGCCAACCCGAGAGGAGAGGATTCCTAAATGGCTCATGAATTACTTTGATCAGAGTCCGTAATTAAGGAACTTAAGACCAGATTCATGCCATCTGTTTTGTTCGCGAGCGTATTTCAAACGAATTGGAAGCCACTTCCAGGACCTTGTTCGTTACTTGCGCAGGAAATAAGCTACTACTATGTATATAATATCACATCAAGATCGAACGATTTCGCCATCCCCGATTGAGAAGTTAGAGACAGTGAAACGTGTGAAAGACCATTCTGGAATCCTACTATTACTCAATGAGCCCCGTTACCAGACGAATTCCGAGCAGGTTTGTTACTGTTCGCCCGACTTTCTTCGT